TTCTGGTGGAACCGACCTTCGAATCTTTTCACCCAACACTTTTACTCGAAATGGAAGTAAGCTCAACAATGAATGTGATATGCCTGAAGCTAGGCGTAACATTAGAGACGCTATCGAAATTAACCGGCTAGCCGCTACATGGAAAATAAGGAATACTTGCAAGAAATTAAGTGAGAACTACTTACGCTTGATTGATTGACTTAAAAGTAGACAGGGTATTAAGCCGCCTGCAAAAATGATAGAAATCAAGTAGTCTTTTATTTGCTTGTCTTAGTTCTATTCGAGGCCACATTACTGTACTTACTATATGAGATGTATTTATCCTATTTCGTTAAGTGTAGTGAAGGACTGGTAGTAAAATTTTCCAACAATGATATGATTAGATTTGACATTTCTATCAACTTTCCCCTAGCTTAACATTTCCAAAAGTTGTTCTTATTTAGAGTGGACTGAATGACATCTCCTAGGTCTTATAAACACTCCCAGAGGGAGTCAAACCATGACAGTGCAGCATGTGAGCTTGACACATTAACCACTACGCCCCATTGCCACGAGTGCTCTTGGGTCACAGGGCAGATGTCAATTTCAAGGAAGGCCAGGACTTTTTCTCATATCACATTTTTTGGTGGAAACGTATATTTGCTGTAACAATCGACTACGTTACTTATTTTTCGTATGTAAGTAGAGTTCCGAGACTAACAATAAATCAGTCATATGAGATGTATTCACACTATTTCGTTGAAGGTGATGAAGGACTGTTATTAAAATGTGATATGGAGAATTGCCTGGTTTTCCTTGAAATTTGCATCTGTCCTGTGACCAAAGGGCACTTGCGACAAGGTGGCGTAGTGGTTTACGTGTCAAGATTACGAGCTACACTGTATGTATTCGAGCCCCGCTGAGGGTGCGATTAAGACATATTCGAGGTGGAAACACTCTGAATCAGAACATCTTTTGGGAAAGCAAGGCTGTATGAAATTGAATTGCAGCATCAGCTTTATTCAGCTAATTATGGAAAAATTCAACTACCAGTCCTTCATCACTTTAAACAAAATAGGGAGAACACATCTCATATAACTGATAGCTGATTTACTACTTAAAAACGAAAAACTGTAATTTTTAGAGTGTGGTTAACTTTTCTCAATCGGTGTGATGTTAAAAAATATATATATAGAGAGAGGGATGTTGGTCATTAAACTATAATGGCTTCTTTTTCTGCTCAAATTTGAGGTATCACTGTTAGTTTCGTACATATATACACCCACACACACATAACCACTCACAGAAAAGCACATACACACGCTTCAAGGTTGGCATGTGACATGAACTAACCAAATCACTTTATACTTCATCAAAGGGCTTAGAAATTGGGTATAAATATTGCATTTAGAGAAGAGCCAGTGAGTTTACTTGGCTCGTCGGCTTGAATATGTCTGTAAGGATGATACCCTGCTCTGAGTATGTCTGTAATACGATGAACCAAATTTGGCACATTTTGACCGACATTGAAGGAGATTGCCCCAGAAACAGCATTAACAATAATGCTTCCGTTAAAGCCAATCGACAGCTGGTCAAGAGGAATCTGCTATCGCCTGCTGTTGGGATCGGCTCTTGAATAGTTTTACCAAACACTTTCATTCGAAATGTGAGCAAGCTCAAGACTTATGCAAAAGTTTGCCGAATCGGCAATCACAACAAAAGTGTGGATTTAGAGAGGCCTAGACTATCTTGGAGTCAAATTAATCCTGGTGATTTATTGTGGCCTGTAACTTGGTGACCAAGTAGTAACTTGTTGCCACGTTACGCGAACTATCCCGTTTCGAATCCCGCTTGAGGCGGCGATGATACTGACACAGCCGATACCGCCGTTGGTAGGGAGGATGATACATATTGGGAAGCAAGACAGAATGAGGCTTACTCATATCCTTGGAGTGCAAACTGTACCATCAGTTCTTACTTGACCATCAACTATCTGAGGCGATCAAATTAAGCGTATAAGACATTGGGCTCTTTCCAGGTAGGTTGAGATGAAATGTGAGAACAATTTACTTAAATGTTATAAGAATTATTTTAGAGAGAAATATGACTTACTATCAAGATTGTGTGCTCCTCTGGTCGACCTTATGTTGGTGAGACATGCCGTTTTATTCGACACAGAACATAAAAATGCTTGTAAAGAGACCTGGGTCAAGTGGGCAGAAGTGGCCGAGTACATGGCAGAGACTGGACATGAAATAGAATGGGCTCAAACTAGTAGGTTTGCCGATTATGGTACATCTGATGTTAAAAGGAAGCTAAGATAGGTTATTGAAATTAATAAATTATGGAATACGTTGAATTTGAGGATCGGTGGTAGGAAGTTGAGTAAGAACTCCTTATGCTTGATTGATAGATTGAAGAAGAGGGAAGGTGCTAAGCCTCCATCCAAAAGAAGGCGACTTAGCTCGTTCGCTCAGTGAGGATTTTAACTTCACTCTCGCTCGTCCAACATGTTGAAGTAAGTTCATCAACAAAGCTAAACCACTCTACATCTCTCTATACCTATTCATTCTCGTTATTTTAATTATGAGTATATATAAGACATAAGATAGAGCTGGCGAGTGTTAACGTGAAAATTACAAGAATGAGTTCCAGCTCTGATGAGGTCCGTCATACGAAGGATAAATTTCAGTTTTTCTAGTTATTATTCGCATATAATAATTGCATTCAAAAAAGGAAGCGCTTATTTAATGACCCCTCTTGATTAAGATGCAGAGTTGGCCTGAATTCATCTACTCGTCTAAAAGTGGTTTTTCTGATCTCCACCAGGAGAAGATAAAATTCAATCCATACATGAGCTCTCTTTAAGTATTACGTCGTCATGCCAAAAATAATGATGTCTCATATCGGGATCCCACTTCACCTTATCCCCATACACCATAATGTACTTGGCTTCAAGATGGGGCACTTCGCCTAAACCTGATGCTTTGGCGTAAGCTTCCCTTCACTTTCCCTTTTACCAAAAATTAAATTTCCATTTAAAACTCATGCTTTCTGCCCGGAAAAGGCCAGAAACCATGTGCATCAGGAAATCAGGCTCTCAAGCAGCAAGCGGACGCGTATTTCCGCTACATTCCTTCAGATACTCTTGCAACAACAGCTGCCCGTCTATCTTGTATGAATTCGCTTGAATTGCCGCTATTGCATGCAGAAACAGGCCTCATTTTGATGATAGGCAAAAAGAAAAGAATATGCAAACAGGTGTCTGGCGAAACACGTCAGCTTCTGCGAACGGCAAGAAGCAGATGATAGACAAGCGTCTTCCACGCCGAAGGAGGCGTTGAATGCTTGCGCTTCATTCCGCTAAAAACTGTATGCATTTCTGAATCCTCTTCGTAATTGATGCCAGAGGCCCGCTTTTGGATGTGGGCGGCACGGCGGAACTGGCTGGAGCTCTCAACGCTGCTGACGTCGAATTGCCTCAAACGGTTTATTGGCGGGCCGCTTGAGCATTGATGGGACACCGGCTTCGAGGGAGCGTCGAGAAGACCGGGCAGGAGATGCGGGCAATCTTCTTCATGCAGGAGAGGAGGGGAGCAGCCAGGCCGGCGAGGCATCCGTACAAGCTGGTGGAAGAGGAGAAACAAGGCAGTCTGGCATAGAAGACGCCATGCCAGTCTCAAAACAAGACGGAGTGAAGTATTATGAACCCCTGAATGTGACATTTGAAGGGGGTCACTTGAAGGTTTCAAGTGAGGCGGCAACATTTAATGGAAGAGGAGTACATCTTCAAGTAAACTGCTATTATCGCTCCGACAAAGTAGAATATTGTGGGTGCCTAAAGTAGCGAGCATCTATTTAATTCTCCTGCTGACGGTAGGAAGATATTTGTTGAGCTTACTTCCATCTCGAGTGAAAGTATTGGGTGAAGAGATTA